GTCCTGCACCAGCCGGTCACAGTAGGTCTGCTCTGAAACAGGCAGAGAGCAGGGGGGCCTCCATTAGTGGGCCCCAGCCGGGAGGCACACCGCTGTAAGCACCGGGACAGCTGCTGACCCCCAGCCTGCAGGGCCTCACGCACAGCCCAGAGCCCCATGTCCTGCCTACCCCTTGGCCTAAAGATGGGGTGGGGGGTGCAGTGAGAACTGTCCACAGTGCGGGACAGGCCTCTGCCCCTCTCTCCTCTGAAATAAACTCAGGGGCTAAGAGTCTGCTGTTCGCGGGCCCCCACAAAGCCCACGGGAGATACCCAGGCCTGGGAAGGGCACAGGCAGCCTGGGCAAGGCCCGACCCACGGCTTCCGCAGGCACATGTCCCGGCGCCAGCGCGCAGGCTCGGGGGCTGTGGTGGCAGGGCCGCAGGACCGTGGTCACAGGAAGACAGCATTGCCCTCCACCGGTCTGCAGCAGGCCGTGTGCCTGCCCGGGGTGCTTGGGAAGGCTTCTTCTTTTGTTTTTTCTTTCGGAATCACCGTTACAACATCGTCGCTGCACCGTCTTTCCATTAAGAACATTCTTTACAATGACAAGCCTTTAAAGTGAAGGGTGGGGTAAAGGCTGGCAGGTGGGGGCACAGGGTCTCCCAGGGAGGATGCTGAGTCCCTGAGCACCAGCTGCCTGAACAGACGCACCGCCTTACTTACCTACCTGTGCCAGCTTGTCCCGTTTCCCGGTGGACACAGGGGCAGGGGGGGGCGGGCAGAGCTGTATAGGAGAAGAGTTTTTGTATGTGATTGGAGTTAAGTTGGTATCAATTCAAATTAGATTGTTATAAGTTTAGGAGAGTATGTGTGATCTCATGGTAACCACAAAGAAAATTGCCACACTATATTGTTACTGCCAAAAAACAACTAAACACAAAAGAAGGCAGTAGTGGAAGAACTGAAGGACAAAAAAGCTACAAGACATACAGAAAAGAAATAGCAAAGGCAGAAACAAGTTATTTCTATCAGTAATTGCTTTACATCTAAATAAATTAAATTGTCCAATCAAAGGCAGAGACTGGCAAAATTTATCTGTGATGTTATGATTTATAAGAAATATATATTTGGTTTTTGTCCCGCTTCCTGGCACACAGCCCCCGACACCCTGGGAATTTCTCTTTTTTTAATCATCACCCAAGACAGCATCACCCTCAGCCTGTCTGCAGCAGACCGTGTGCCTGCCCAGGGTGCAGGATATTTTCCCCACTCATTTCTAGAGAGAGTGGAAGGCAGGGAGGAGGGGAGAGAGAGAAACATAGATAAGAGAGAGACACATGGATTGGTTGCCTCCGGGGCTGGAGAACCTGCAACCGCAGTGCGTGCCCCTGACTGAACCCGTGACCCTGAGCAAACCGTCCAGGGCAGAAATGTCTCACATGTATAAACAGCACTCCACCACACAGTAACAATAGACATTCTCCTCAGTGCACATGGAACATTCTCCAAGGTAGGCGTCAAAACAAGTTTGGCCACAAGACAAGTCTTAATTGATTTAAAAATATTGAAATTATACAAAGGATCTTTTCTGATCACATGGAATAAAGCTAGAAATCAACAGTAGAAGGAACACTGAAAAATTCACAAGTATGTGAAAATTAAATAACAGATCAAAGAAGTCACAAGGGAAAATAGAAAATACCTTGAAACAAATGAAAAGCCCCACAGCTTATCAAAACTTCAGGGATGCAGTGAAAGCAGTGCTGAGAGGGGAATTTATAGAAGAAATATCTTAACTCAATAACCTAATGCTTCAAGGAACTAGAGAAAGAGCAAACTAAACCCAGAGAGGCCAGAGGAAGGAAATAATGAAGATTGGCGTGCAGCCAGCTGGCGGGGCTCAGTGGTTGAGCATCGACTTATGAACCAGGGGGTCACAGTTCGATTCCAGTCAGGGTGCATGCCTGGTTTCAGGCTCGATCCCCAGTAGGGGGTGTGCAGGAGGTAGCCAATCAATGATTCTCTCTCGTGATGTTTCTCTCGCTCTCTCCCTCTCCCTTCCTCTCTCTGAAATCAATAACATATTTTAAAAAAATATTAGAGTGCGGGTAAATGAAATAGAGAAAAAACCAGTAAAAAATTCAACAAAACCATAAGTTGGTTCATTGAAAAAATCAACAAAACCTTTAGCCAAACTAACAACAACAAAAAAGACTCAAATTACTAATATCAGAATTTAAAGTTGGGATATTACTACCAATTTTACAGGGGCGGTGGGGGGAGGCTTATAAGAGAGCACTATAAACATCTGAATGACAACAAATTGGACGACCTAGGTGGAATGAACAAATTCCTAAAAGCACACAAACTACCAAAGCTGACTCATGAAGAAATAGAAAATCTGAATAGATGTATAACTAGTAAGAGACTAAATCAGTAATCAAAATTGTTCCAGCAAGTGAAAGCCCAGGACCAGACAGCTTCACTGGTGAATTCTACCAACATTTGAAGAACTACCACCAATCCCCCTCAAGCTTTTCCAAACAACTGGAGAGGAGGGAACACTCCACAACTCACTCTTTGAGTCCAACATTGCTTTGATACCAAAGCCAGGCAAAGACACTACAAGAAAGCTATAGACCAATATTGCTTATGAATACTGATGTAAAATCCACAACAAAATACTAGCAAATTGAATTCAGCAGCATATGAAAAGAATTTATTCCAGGCCTGGCGGCATGGCTCGGTGGTTGAGCGTCAACCTATGAACCAGAAGGTCATGATTTGATTCCTGGTCAGGCAATGTGCCTAGGTTGTGGGCCCACAACCTAGGGGGCGTGCAGAGGGCAGCCAATCAATGATTCTCTCTCATCATTGATGTTTCTATCTCTCTCTCCCTCTCCCGTCTTCTCTGAAATCAATAAAAATACATATATTTGGGGGGAAAAAAGAATTTATTCCAAGAATGCAAGGATGGTTCAACACATGAAAAACATTACTATAATACATCACATTAATAGAAAAACAAAAGATCACCTCAAGTGATGCAAAAAACTATTTAACAAAATTTAATACACTTCCTTGATTTAAAAAAATCAATACATTAGAAATAGAAGAAGTTTCTCAACATAATGAAGGTCATATAGGAAAAGTTTACAGCAAACATCATATTCAATAGTGAAAGACTAAAGCTTTTCCTCTAAGATAAGAAATAAGACAAGGATACTCACTCTCACTATTTTTTATTCAACATAGTACTAGAAGTCCTCATCAGAGCAATTAGGCAAGAAAAGCGGGGGAAAGGCATTCATTTGGAAAGGAAGAAGTAAAATTATCTCTGTTTGCAGATGACATGATCTTATATATAGAAAACCCCAATGTTTTCTTTTAAAAAAGACACCTGTTAGAACTAATATATTCACAGCAAAGTTGCAAGATACAAAATGAACACACAGAAAACCATTTGCTTTTTTATACACTAACAGTGAAAAATAAAAAAATAACACAATTCTATTTATAGTAGCATCAAAAAGAATAAAATACTAAGGAGTAAGTTTAACCAGTGAGGTGAAAGACTGGTACACTGACAACTACAAAAAGAATTGCTGAATGAAATGAAATAAGGCACAAATAAATGAAAAGATATCCCATGTTCATAGATTGGAAAACTTAATATTGTGAAGATGACGATACTACCCAAAGTGATCTGCAAATCCAATATAATCCCAATCTAAATCCCAATGATGATTTTTGCGGAAACAGACAAAGCATCCTAGAATTCATATATCAAGGAACCCTCATAGCAAAAACAATCCTGAAAAATAACAAGGTTGGAGGACTCACACTTCCTAATTTCAAAATATACTTAAAAGCTACAAGAGTCAAAACAATGTGGTGGTGGCATAAAGACAGACATATAGACCAATGGACTAGAATAAAGAGTCCAGAAATAAATAGTATTTTGAGTGGAAAAAACAGAGTGTGAAAAAGATAACCCATAGAATGAGAAAATATCTGTGAAGCATATCTACACTAATAAAAGAGAAACATGGTAATTGGTGTATGACTGCTACCCTTCCCATTGGCTAATCAGGGAGATATGCAAATTAACTGTCAGCCAAGATGGTGACCGGCACCAGGTAGCTTGAAACTAACATGAGGCTTGCTTGCTTCAGTGACAGAGGACTCCAACGTTCCCAGCCTGCCGCTGCAGGCCTCTGAGCTGCAACTCTAAGCAACTATGTAACAAATATAGAAGCTAAACAAAACCCCAGAAACCTGCTTTAGTC